ACATAATTCTTCAGATTTTCTAGAATTTCATGAAATATATCAGCTATGATCCTATATGAGAAAAAAGGGTTGATGAATCGTATTATCTATATATCTGTATTACCTGATATCTATATACTAATAATATAGTAAAATTTTAGATAGTGTTTAGATGTATACATAAATTTTTAGGCTAAAGATCTATAAAAAAGACTTATTCTTCCCTAATTTTACAAGAGTTAGCAAATCTGGTTTTGAAAACTGTGATCAGGAGTTTGTTTATCACAAAAGGTTGTATGAAAAAGGGTTTTGAGTTAAATTTAGCGTTGTAAAGAAAAAAATTGACAAATCTTCTAATGAAGTTGAAGCAGAAATTTTTTTACACATTGATATTGTTTGGTTAAGTTTGGCACAAGGCTAGAAATGTAGGCTCTATAATGAGTATTGAACCACTTCAGTAACAATGACCTGGAAAACAAGTTTCCTTATCATTGCTCTATGATAAGAAACTATTTTTTGCTTTTTTCTCAGTAGAGTAAGCATTTCACTAATGAGTATACAGAAAAAAATTTCAAAGAATATCTTATATTCTTGTTGCTGTTGGATTCTTAAAATTTATTAAACTTTTAGCTGAACTTTCTAAAAGGAAATATTGCAATTCTTATAATAAAAAAAATAATGGAAGACTTGCTCAAAAAAAGAGAAAATGATACAAACATTGGCAGAAGAATAACGTTTGTTAAAAAAGGTAGAATTCTTTTCCCAAATAATCTTCCTGACAGAACAAGATATTATAGACTAATAATCTAGTAAATATGCCTAAGTAGTTTATTGAATGAATGCAATGAATAGAAAGAATATAATGATTTGAAATAAAATCCCAGAAAATTACACTATGACAAGCCAAATTAAAAATTCAGAGAAAAAGGTTTTTAACTGAAAAGACAGGAGATAGTAAATCTTCCGTCTCAGAAAATTAACAGGCTTTTTTCACTTTGTTCAATGAAAACAATAAATGGCTTGTATTTATTATTCTTTGAGATACAGAGATGAAACATTTTGTTTAATCCTTGAATTGGCACTGATATTAATAGTTTTTTATCACAATATTACAACTGACATATTCCTTGATATTTTTGGATTGAAATTCTGAAATGAAAACAATATCATTAAGCCACAAACTTTCAGACTATTCATCTTTGTTGTTTTTATCACAATGCTTCAGATATCTTCTTTGGCCTGATTTCTGACTTGAGGATGAGTTTTTAACACTTGCATCTGTGAAGCAATTCTCTTGGGTAAGTGTTAAAAAATACAAGGACATTCAAAAACTGCTAGTGTAACTTTCAATTGAATAAAGGTTTAAAATAATATCAGCCAAAATGTGAAGACAAAAATATAAGTATGTGTAAAATATTTCCAAAAATAAAATTCAAGCTTACTTGTACATGTTTTTTTTAAATACAATTATTTCAGGAAAAATAAAAATGGTGACCAGCAGCTGTTCGCTTGATGACCACATTCTGCTTGAAAATGTCTCTTTTCATGGTGATATAGGATTTAAATGGATCCTTTAAGAAAATAATGGAAATGACCAATTCCACAGATCTTTTTCACAGCATTGCTGTAACCAGCATGTATTGAGTCCTATGATTGGTCAATAGATGAGCCAATGACAGCCCAGACTCATTTCCACTGTGGTAGACAATTTAAAAAAAAATAGCTTTCTCTCTTTTGACCCTGGATAGTGAAAATGTACTGAACTACTATATGTGTCATTTGAATAAATATCTCTAATTATTATATATATATATATATATATATATATATATATATATATATATATATATATATATATATATTTCATGTTTTTTTTTTGTAGCTAGTTATTCAAAGTGGATCCACATTGTGTAGAATTGTAATGGTGTCCACAACCAGATAAAGTCAAAGCTTATGAGGGAAACATAGAAACAGCACAAAAATATTTAATCAATATTTACAGTCTGTTGTGTAGAGAACATTTTCATTCTTCAAAAGACAAAAGATCAAATAAGAAGAATAGATTTTAAAAAAATTAACAGAACTGAAACGGTAAGTCCCAGCAAGCAATAAAAATTAATGAAAGAACGTCAAATATTTTTCATCACTCAAAGCATAGCTGGAGATCATTTACTTGAGCTCTGTGTGGAGATGATCGGGACCACATTTTAGCCATAAATAGAAAAGCACAACAGTGTTCATATGTAATAACATACAACATATGACACCAGCTGTGACTGAAAGACTTTCTCACAGAATTTGCAAAACAGTACTCACCAATTACTATCCTACAACAAAGTAATAATACAATATTCCCTATTTGTAGCAGTTAAACTCTCAATACTAATTACCATCAACAAAACAGAAAACAGGAAAAGGAAGAGCCTGATGTGCAAATTACAAATTGGAATTACCAAAATCAAACAAGTAAAAGAATTAAATATCTGGGAACTGTTTTAACAGAGGATGGAAGGTGTCATACTGAAATCTGAAAGCCCATTAGGATAGTGAAATATGCCTTCCAAAAGCTGAGCAAAGTATTAAGAAAGAGAGAAATTTAATCAGAAACAAATAAAAGTGTACTGAACCATTATACAATATCGGTCTTCCAATATTGCAATAAATGCTGGACAATCTCCTCATAGATAAAGAAATGACTTGAAACAACAGAAACATGGTTCTACAGAAGGATACTGAGAATACCATGGACTGAACATGTGGGCAACAACAAAGTTTTAAAGAAAATGAAAAAAAAGAGGACTCTTACATTTAATATCAGAGAGAGAGTTGAAATTTCTAGAGAATGTAATGAGGAAAGAGGGCTTAGAAATTTTGATACTTATAGGACATAATGAAGACAAGTGGAAAACAGCACATGATTTAGATGAGATATTAAAAAACAAAATGTACTAAGAGCTATAAAGGACAAGAAATTGTGGAGAGTGATAATCACCTGTGTCCTGAAGTGAGTTGGCACATAGAAGAAGAATATGACTACAAGCTAACTTTATTCAGAATTCATCCATTCAACCAAGAATGTCTTCATTGTACTCCCTTTAATTTCAACACTCTGTGACTATACAAAAGTAGTTTGGGATGTATCAAAAGTTTATTTTCTTTTTAACTTCATGAGTGCTCATGTATATGCCTGGTTATCCTTATCCAGCTTGGTGTCATTATGGGTATATTGGACTTCATATATTTGTACCCTCACTTAAAAATAATAATATTGGATTGGTAATGTCAGTTCTCAGGTGCAAGAATTGTCTGATTGTCCTGATTAAAGTGGTGGGATATTTTATTTTCCTTTTTTACTTACATTATTTATATTCAGACTATTATCCAATCATTGTTGTTATGATCATAACTTTTCATCCAATGTGCTTCTTCAGACATTTGCCAAACTGGGTAATCTTCTAGGGATATTTCATTTTGTTTGTATTTAACACCACTCACTTATTGCTCACTCTTTTTAAGTCTGCATTCACCAATGTTTCTCTTTTCTTATTTCTTTTATTTCTGCTGCTGTAATTATGAGTTCAATCCATGGGCCGGGTAGTGCAGACTTAGACCCAGTGGAAACAGGGAAAGCAGTATGAGCAGTACTAATTAAGAACAAGACGGGATATTTCTAGATATGGACAATGGGATCTATCTTGGAGGTTAAAGAAAAGGTTAATTTCAAAATTCCATGAAGGTTACCTGAATCGACAAAACACCTGATGAAGGCTGAGACATTGTGCTGATAACAACAAAGATGGGAACAGTTGTTTGAATGTAAATAATATCAATAATAATAACTCATCCCATTAAATTTAGACAGAAATTCACTTTCCCTTCTTTGAGTAATAAAAGTGAAAGCCTTGCTCTCCTTAATTTTAAATTGTCTTTTTTACTAATTATAAACCTGATTAAACTCTGTTGAATTTAAAATGCAGCCTAAAAGTTAGCAAGTAGAAAAATTCAAAATTCAGTACAATTGTTCTTTCAAAATAGCCCAGTTTGGCAGTCCTGACTGGAAGAAAGAAATAAGTCTTTTAAAGAGAATATTTTAGCAGAATGCCTGAAAAGATTCTAAACTAGGTCCCATTTCAGAAATTGGCTTGAAGACAATTTTTAAAAAAATCAAAAGGCCAAAAAAAATAGTATGCTTTCTGCTGGTATCAAGAATTATGAAGTATTCAACATTAGTATTACATGAATTTACTAAGCTTAGTCTGACACAAGGCTACAAGTAGGGAACATACAGTTTGGATTTAATGCATTATGCAGTACTAATGATCTGCAAAACTAACTTGGTCCTAATTATTTTATAGTTGAAAGCCTTTATTTAATAATAGTTTAATCCAGTAGAAGAACACAATACTTGAGCATTTTGAGAAAAACTCATATCACTAGAAAAGTGGTCTATGAAACAAGCTTGCTAATTAAGATGCCATGGGAAATGTTCTCATGATTAATTAAAGTGAGTCTAGTACAGGACCAAACTCATTTCAGTTAGTTTGTTAAACATTGCTCCATTGGATGGTGCCACATGTCTCATAATGTATTTATTAAAATGCTCAGCTTTAAGAAAAGAAGCTTCTTGAAAACCTGTTTATTTGTATATCTTACTCATGAAACTTTTTGGAACATTTCTGTTACCATAGACCTTATATCTTCACTATATGGCTTTCACATTATCTCATTTTAGATTTTATTTTTTGAAATTATGATATCCTATGATAGTTGTGCAGAATAGAAGCCATTTTATTTTGTTGAATATGTTATATAAAATTTCAAGCAAAGAATAAACTCATTATAAATGACTTGAGAGAAAGGTAGATGAAATATAGTTATTAATTTGTTTTTTATCTATTACATGTCACTCACTTTACTCCCCCCAAAATAGCTTAGTGTTTATCTGTTTTTAATATGATAGAAAGAAGCAAATTCTTTAGTATCAACACTATAACTAGGTCATACTTCTAGATTAGGTTTATGGCAATATCACATTAAAATACTGGTTCTCATTCAATCACTGAAGTTAAGCAACATCGAGCCTGGTTAGTAGCTAGTTAGTGACCTCTTGGGAATAACAGATGCTGTAAACTTGGATGTGTGGATGGTGTAAATGGAATGAGAAATCAAAAAATCAAATTTGAATTTTAGTTGGATTCATTATATTCACATATGAGAAAATAACCTTGAGAAAGTTATGAATCCACCTCTTTCAGCTATGGTTTAAATAGGACTTGGAGGCTAAGGATACCATGGACTGAGGGTGTGAGCAACGATGAGGTTTTGGAGAGGATGCAAACAAGGAGGAAGCTTATACTTAATATCAAGAAGTGGCAGATAAAATTTCTGGGACATATAATGAGGGCTTGGAGAATCTGATACTCACAGGTCAAATAGAGGGAAAGAGAGACAAGAGAAAGCAACGCATGACATACCTAACGGGCTTAAGCTAATGGATGACAGAATATGGCCTGGGGGAAGTAGCAAAGGGACAAAACTTATTGAGAGCTACAAGGGGTAGGGGGAAGTGGAGAGCCATGATCGCCTATGTCCTGAAGGGACATGGCATATAAAAAAAAAATAATCATAAAATCATTATTATCTCAAAAAAATTATTGCCATTTAAAAATATGTTCTGGTTAAATGCTGATAAGCCATAAAAAAACAAATCAATCCTTCTAAATTAAATTTTAATAATATTTTATTAATCCCAAGTGGATCCATAAGAAAGTGAAAATAGTTACTCAGATATTTGATTTCCTTAATTTAAAATTCAAGGAAATTACCATTGGTATGTCTTTTAAGAGTTGTTATGTCTTGCATATCTCTCTGTATAGCAGTAGTTGTAGTACAGTTCTCCATGCCCTGAATAGTAACAGGGTTAGCTAGGCATAGTCACTTTATGTTCACCAGTTGTTCTCCATTTATACTTATCTATCTAATTTGCATACAATACTACGAGAGTACTATACTATTATCTGATATCAGTCTTATATGTCAGTGATTTTTGGACAATCTCTTCACAGATGAAGAGAAGACATGAAGTGACAGAAATCTGGTTCTATATATGGAGAGTATATTAAAGTAATCCAGAACTTATAGTGGAAGCAAACCACCTGCATATGGATAGAAAATGAATTCAGTAAATATACAAAAATAGAAAGGTCTGTAAGACAAGGATGTGTCTTCTTGCCAGATTTATTCAGACTTTACATTGAAGTGATTATAAGAAAATAAAAATTCCTATCAGGATTCATTTCTGGTAGTCACACTCTTAACAACATTAGATATGCAGATGACAGTGTTGATAATAGACATGGAGAAGAAGATACAGGAACTAAACATCAATTGTAAGAAGACAGAAGGTATGATTGTCAGTAAAAAGAAGAGATCAACATGTAAATTACAAATTGAAGATGCCAAAATGAAGCAAGTACAAAAATTTAAATATCTGGGAGGTGTTTTAACAGAGGATGCAAAGTGTGACACTGAAATTGGATGATACATTTGGATAGCCAGAGATGCATTCCAAAAGGCAAAGTATTAAGAAACAGGAAAATTTTGTTAGAAACGAAAAAAAGTACTTATGTAATATCAGTCCTCATATGGCAGTGAAGATGAAGAAAAGACTGAAGTCAACAGAAGTGTGGTTCTACAGGAGGATGCTGAGAATGCCATAAACCAAATATGTGAGCAATGACAAAGTTTTAGAGAAAATGGAAACAAAAAAGGACACTTATACGTAACATCAGAGTGAGATAATTGAAATTTCTTGGCTAGATAAGGAAAGATGGCTTTGAAAATTTGATACTCACAGGACAGATTAAAGGCATGAGAGACAGTGGAAAACAATTCATAACCTACCTGTTGAGCTTGAGTAAATTGATGGCAAAACAGGGTTAAAGAGAGATAAAAAAAATGACAAAATTTATTAAGAGCAACAATGGAAGGAAATTTTGAAGAGCCATGATCGCCAACATTCTGAAGGGCACATAAAAAAAGAATTCCATTAAAGACTAGGAAAGTCGACTTTCTGCTAAGGCTTTATATCTTTACTAATCATGTTATTTGCTACTTTTTTCTTTCTCATAGAGAGCATTCAAGCTGAATACATACCGCCAACCCAAGAGGATTATTGTATCCACCGACAATGCAAAGATGATATTTTATTCTTTGTCTTGTTCATATAAATCAAATGTAATGAATAAATTAGATATATTTATGTTAGAAAAGAGACACATTCCATTAATCAAATTTTGCACATCTGAAACTAAAGAGAAGAAAATATAAAGGTGAATTGAAAATATGGAAAGAGTCCAAAAACTTGGCTAATTAGGCAAAGAAATTAGTTGGCAAATAAATAATGCTCTTCTTCCATTGATCCTGTGTCTTCTTGGGATTCATAAAAGAATTCAATAATAAACTCAATTTATACAGACAATGACGCCTATCATAGAGACACTGTCAGATTTTAAAATCACTTAAGCTGATACCAAGTTTTTGCCAATTGGTTAAAGTAAGACAGACAATAATACTTTGAACACATCGAAAATAACAGAAAAATCAAGAGCTTCAGTCAATTTATAAATGTTACCAAAAATACTTTGAAATTCATAAAAATGGAAAGAAGCCCTCCCACTCAATGTAACTTCATTTGTTGTACAAAAAGAATATTCTGCCACTTAGGGTGAATCTGATCGCTGAATTTGTTTAAATTTCATAGATGTGTTGTCATATGGTAACAGAAAATAACTGAGTGAAATTAACAATAAAGTTATTGCAATTAAGAGGCCTTAAAAAAAAAGCAGATAAAAAGAAGTAATATTAATAATGCAGGTGCTAAAAGGTTAATTCTACTGCAAGCTCCAGTGAAGCAAACAAGACTGCTGTTTTTGTATAGTTACAGAAAAAAACAGAAAATTTGAACCAATATAATTTTGTTTGACATGCTCAAATGTCTCTTATGTGGTGTTGCTGGTTAAGAGGTTTGTTTGTGTGTGTGTGTGTGTGTGTGTATATATATATATATATATATATATATATATATATAAACTGTGAACTTTGTCTGGAGGGGAAAATAGCTATATCTACTTTCCCAGACAAATGTAAATTGCTAAATACATGCAAAATGCAGATACAAAAACAAATTTTTACTTCATTACTTACAAATCGAGAATAAAAATGAGTACTTGTAAAATACCATCATGAAAAATGCAAATATATGCACTATATACAATGCAGATAATGTAATGCACTATATACAATGCAAATAATGTAACATATTTTATGCAAAACTAATATTTTAAACTTAAAAAAACTAACTCCTGAAAACAAAAATAAAACAAAATTAAGAAAAAAATTTAAATAACTGAATAAATAAAAAAATTAATGAAATAATAAACAAATTAACAAACTATGATGAATATATAAACACAAGTAAATGTAATAATAATAATCAACAAGCCTCTAGAATAACGAAACTGTTACTTTTCACGCAGTAAACACCAATAAACCTTAATAACATAATGCACCAATAGACCTTACTAGTGCAATGTCTGGAGAACATAGTCTTCATCTTCAATGTTTTTAGCATTTTTGAAGAATATATTCTTTTTCAAGTGTATGTTTTTTTTTTTTTTTTTTAAATACTGTGTTCTTTCAGGAGATAGGTAGTTTGAGTTTCCACAGCTTTCTTTTCTTTAATATCTATGAAATATTATGACTTTGTGCAGAAAAAAGAAAAGCATTTACTTGCTGCCTTTTCCACAGTGTAGAATTCAGAATTATCAGCTATCAGTCAAGGCTTGAGAGCCAACTTGACCTCGTTCGTCAACTAATACTGGCAAGTAGAAGAGATTTGAATTATTTGGGTGTTATATGACAGATTTGAACTTGGCTTGCCAATTCCACATTTTGTGTCAATGTTTTGCTACCAACACATCAATTAAATTTATGCTTATTTTTTGTAAACTAAGTGACTTTTAGAAACCACATACATGATTCACCTGGAGTAAACTAAATACTATATACACAATATGTACAATACACTTGGAGTATCTGTCTATATTTCTGAGATGAGGTGGTTGGAATGTCGAATTGAACCCTTTATTTTGCTCACTGGGGTAGACTGTTCTAGTTCCATGTGCCACGTCTAATGGATGTCCTTAAGGACACATGGCACAGTAGATAAAGGCATTGGTTAGATCCAGTGACAGGACCCAAAAAGTGTGAGTTCAATACCCAGTTAAGGCAGTGGAGAACTTTCAGAGGGAAATTAACAGGAGATAACTGATAATTGACATCCATTAAACATTGCACGTGGAACTAGAACAGTCTACCCCAGTGAGTGAAATAAAGTGTTTAGTTCAACATTCCAACCACCTGAAGAAGGCCAGAGCATACAACGGCTGAAATGTTGTAATAAATATGGCAACAAAGATGAGGACAATAGTCTGAATAATGTAAATAGTGTACACTTGGAGTGAACTAAGAAGCAAATGTACAATACATCTTGAGTAGACTAAACACCTTATTAGAAATGTTGCACAAATTAAAAACAACAAAATTGGAGTTAACATTCTGAAAACGTGGAATAACCACTTCATATCAGAACTTCCAAGTGCAACCAAAAAGAAAAGGGTGGGTAAATATAAAAAATATGTGCAAGAAATAAATAATGTAATGGAAATTTTCTAAGATTACATTCCAGCATAAAACATCCAAGTATGATATTAACTGACTATATAACATATGAGTGTTGTAAGACTTGAAAATGAAGATAAAAGGAGAGTAATTCCTCCAGCATTGCCTGTAGGCAAGTGGGTTAAAGATGATTTTATCATTGAGAATATAAACATAAAAGGTGAGCATGACATTTTAAAAGAAAAGAAGTGCTATAGATATTGCAAAAATCCCTTTTCCAAAAATATCTTTACACACTTCATAATGTATTTCAGGTAAAGAACATGAATTTAAAAGAGAAGTAAAGTACCAAAGAAGGTAATAAGTAGCAAGTAAAACCAGGCAAGGTGTGATTCCCACTGCTCGCCAGAGGTTCTAAGCAGACTGACAATATAGAAAAGTTGACCTACTTCGAGAACAATGTGATCCTGTGTATCCCAAAATGCATCCTTCCAGGCAGGAGCCATTCACATGGTGACATGTCTGATTGTAACAGTTGTGGCTGCACTCATTTGCACACTCTGCACCATATGCATGAGGAGGACACTCTGAAACAGTGAAAAATGTTTATCAGAAACACTGGTAGAAAAATTTATACAAGCAGCAATAAATACAGTAGAATCCCACATATCCAAACATAACTTTGATGTGTATATTTGAATTATTTGGGTGATATATGACTGATTTGAAATTTCTGTTTTTCAGGAAATTTACTTTGGATAATTGCTTATTTCACCCTAATGGCTTGTATTGGTGCAAAAGATGATGGGAATAAGAGGAAAGAATGACAACGAGACATCTGCAACAAGATAGCGATATGATGCATGGCTGTGATGAAACCTGGACTAAAATTGAAAAAGTTGTCAGTTTTATGGAAAGAAAGCCAGCATTCAGCTATGATGATTGCAATAACACATTCAAAGTTAAAAAGTGTCTTTCATTTAAAAAATTTCAAAAACAAAAGCAAAACAAAATGTAGAAAAAGTTGAGAATGACATTAGAAGAAAAAGAATCATCACGCAACAGTGTTTAAAAAAATTCTTGTTACATTATTTGTTTTGCATATGTGGTATATTTAATTTAATGAATTTTCATTAACATTACATAATTTATTTCTTTTTCCTTAAAATCAACTCTGTTATATTTCACTCACCATTAGCATATTTAGGACTTGTATTAGTAAATCGTTGTTATTCCCAAAAAATCATATCTAAAAATATTTTCTGGCTTTAAATAACCTGTAAGAGGTTGATAAGCCATAAAAAGATAATCAATAAAATAAAACAGATAAGTAGAAATTTGCTGGTTTAAAGACTGAAAAACAAACTACTCTCTTTTGAAAAATGTTATATTTAGCTTTTTATTTAAAATATATAAAGTCCTGTCAGTAGAATTGTATCTTGTGTCTATTCTGTTTTTATCTGGAGTGTTTTTCCTTTGCAAATGTCTACTGTTTCAGTCTATTTTTTTAGCTATCACAATGTCAAATAAAAGTGACAAATGTGTTAATAACGAGAGCAAAAGAAACTTCACAATAACTAGGGATTGTCAGATTTCAAAGGGGTGTGCATACTCTCAATCAATTTGAAGATGGAATGGGGGGGTATCAAAATCAATACTGGGGCAGGTATTAGCCAATAGTCAGGTGTGGGATTTAGGAGAGCTACATAACACCAGTTTTTTCTCAGTCATGGAAGAGTCCTTTCAACGTGTGGAAAGCTAGACAAGATGAACACCGAACACCAATATGAATTATTATGGCAGAGCAGCCCAAAGAAAGTTACTTCTTTAACAATTCTGCAGAGAATATAGCAGCTAATTCATATGGTTGAGACATCTTTAGTGTTTTGGCATACATTGTCTTTTCAGATGAGTTCTTTCTGAAAATTTAAGTAATGATCATTTATGAATTATCTGCAACCCACTGTCAAATACAATAGATTTTTGATTATAGTGTGCATAAAATTTTGCACAATTTGTCATTTAAAATTTCCAGTGTTAATTAGGAATACAAATTAAGAAAAAGATATAACCATTCTAATAGAAGTACTTATCTTAATATTCATTGTATTTCCTTGGATAAGCATACAAACAAGATTACCACTGTGAATGTTTCCTTCCTGGCTAATATTACCATTACTATTGGGTATGAAACTCCATATTATAAAAAAGGAAAAAAAAACAAGAATGTCAGACCTATATCCAAGAAATCTAAAAAAGATAATTTGCTTTGTGTCTTGAATGCAACTTGGTCAGATATCTCTCAGCAGGTGACAGACTTAATCATGGTTACCAGATTTGAATAAAAATAGTTGTGTTAAGTCTGAATACCCAATGCTACCAAATTTTGGACTGTTTTTCTTTCCATTAGTCGTCCATATAATCAACTGAAGTAACCCCCAAAAGTTACAAGTAGCAAAATTCAAAATTTATCTGTGCGGGGCTTATCAAAATGCCCCAGTCTTGCAACCCTGGATTCGATGCTTAAAAGAATAAAAACTCTGAAATCAGTTAATCACAAGTCCATCATAATTAAATGTTATTAAATTAAGATTATTGAATAAAGGCTTTTGTTTGAAAACAGAGGTGTTTAATCATTTTTGTCATGTCTCTATATGAAAAAAAAAATAATGAAAGTAATTTGAAAAACATGCTTGTAGGAGATCAATATTTGATTAACAAATAACATTTCATTGTTAATTCACGTTCATGTTCTCGGGAAAATTAGATGAAAAAAGCAGAAAACCATTCAGAAAATCAACCAAATGTCATGTCTGTTAATCAAATATCAATTGCCTCCAACTGGAAGTGTGGAGTGGCAGGAATAATGCTTATCAGCATTGAAAACAGAATTGGTGAACCATATTCTAATTCAAGTTGGTGCTTTTCAGGTTCATTTTGTATTATTGTCATTAGAAAAGGCATGAATCCATTTTTTCCTGTACTCAATTCTAACAAATCTCTCTCTTTTAGAGATTTCATGTCCGTTCAAAAGATGGACAATCATAATTCTCCACAGTTTCCTTTCTTTTTCTGATCTCAACAATGCTTTCTCCGTTATGACCCCACTTTGTCTTTCTGGTACTTGTTTCTCAATCCATTTTCTCAGAATTTTTCAGAAGGCTATTTGCTTCTGTCTATATTACTGAGGCAAGGTATGGTAACTATTTACATTGTTCACACTGTTGTCCTCATCTTTATTGTTAATATTTACCTTCTGAATATGAAAATAAAAAATGAAGACAACAGTCCAAACAATGTAAATACTGTAAATAGGTTATTTGCTGTTTTCCATTACTTTCTCTGTTAGTGTTAAATTCTCCAACCCTTACTTTTTCATTGTGTATCTTCAGAATTTCAGCTGTCTCTTTCTGATTGCTCATATCAGTTTCCTTGATGTTCATATTCTTTTTAAAACATCCTTATTGATCACATGTTCTGCCCATAGTAATCGTAACATTTTTGGTCAAATAATATTGTGGTCATTTGAATTCTTTTCTTGATTTGGGATGATATCATTCTGTATTAAAAGGTATTTTTCAGTTCATTAATACTTATTTTCTGAAAACTATCTTTCCCTATTTTAATGTATCTTCAATTATCTATCATGACTGTTTATGAGTACAGTATTTCTGAGGATAAACCTAGGACCAGGCTCATACATCATATCATTGATCCTTGCAAAAGCAATATCATCACTATGTTGTATACAAGTTAATAAAGTGAATAAGAGAGACCTACTCAGAATGGACTAATTTCATATTCACAGACATTAATTTTTGTTCTTTCATTTGAATGAGAAGATGCCAACCTAGCAAACACTTAAACAGTTTTAATAAAAAAAAGTACAGTTTTATCTTTCATTTTGACCTGAACCGAGTATACAAAGGCGAAATGTGTTGTCATTAAAAACATTTTCCCCTGTCTCATTTCTCCACTTTTGTTTGGATTCCATATCTTACTAACAGACATGAGCACACTCTCTAAATAGTTTGACATCTTTGATAAATAGCTCACACCTTGATCTGTTCCTTTATCTCACCACATCTTTTGATAATTAATGCTTAGTTCTTTCTTCTTTTATTGACTACCTTGTCTTATAAGTTTTTCAGTTTTCATTCTGAATCTGTCACTCAAAAAGTGTCATCTAGATACAAAAGGTATATCTACCAATAATAAACCCAGTTACTCTTTTATGTACAGTATCCCTTTAAAACATGGGTGATCATGGCTCTACACAAATTCCAGTTCTTTGTAAAGGTAAGATTTTTTTTCTGCTATCTGTTGTAATTTAGTTATCAAAAACAAAAGCAGAAAACCCAAATTGGTTTAACATGTTTATTACCTTTTGGTACAGGGAAACATAATGTAGAATAGAAACTAGGGAAGAGAATGTTTAGCTGTTAATGACTGTTTTTATCAAAGGTTACTGCTGCTACTGCTCCTCCTGCTACTCCTCTTGATGTAGGAGTATTTTTATGTCTTTTGTCTGATGGCCGTGTCCAAATTTGTAGAGAAATATTCTCCCTCACAACACTATCTCACCTCATAAGCTCTTTTTCTTGGTGCCCCAGCTATACATGAATTTAAGCAACCAGGCCTCTCAGTTTTACTATTGAAATAGCTAGATGCAACCACAACTTCTACTCCAACAATTTTTCACATTTCTCAGAACTCTTTTTTGATTTTTAGCTTCTCTGATAACAACAATCTTCAGATAATTTGAAAGCAACATTGCTATCTTCTATCTTCTTGAAACCTGTTCCTTTTCTGCAGCATTTTTTGTTCCTTTTGCCTTCAATATTCCATGTGACTACTGTTAAATTCTCCAACCCCTCTTTCTTAATTATGTGCTCTAGAAATTTCAGTTGTCTCTTTCTGATTCTAAACAGAAGTGTCTGTTTGTCCCCATTAAACTTCTTTATGTTACACACATTGGTCAGTCCATGATATTCTCAGCATCCTTCTGTAGAACCATAGTTCTATTGCTTCAATTCTTTTCTTCATCTATGAAGAGATTGACCAGCATTCACTGCCAAATGGTTCAGTATTCTTTTCTTTGTTTCTAAGAAAATTTTCATGTTTCTTAATACTTTGCTTAGATTCTGGAAGGTATCTTTCACTATCCCAATGTACCTACAGATTTCAGTGTCACATTTTCCATTCTCTGGAACACTTTCTGGATATTTAATAGCAATTCATTTTCTGTGTAGTATCTAACGGTACAGATCAAATAGATCACATCAGAAAACACCACCTTATCTTTCTATTTTGGTGTACTGACTTTATACTTCATTTGCATAAAAGCCATTTCATGCCTGGAATGGTATGATGGTTGTCAGAGAAAAAAAGCAGTTGAAATAATACTTGAGCAAATCATTGCTTTTCAAACAATTTAAAAAAAAATTTATTGCCATAGTTGACCAGTTTTAAATTGAATGACAAATATAAATCTCAATGATTCACAAATTTTCAAGAGCCACTTTTAAAAGAAAGCATGAAATTTTAAACTTTATATCATAATCTCAATGCTTCAGGCCATTTCATA